AAAACCTTCATATTCTTTTTGTTTTCTGTAAGAATTTACTACCTGTCTCTATGACAGTTTAGTTGATTCGTAAAATCAGTTAAATTGGTATCCCACTACTTCCCAGTGCCACATTAGCCCAGCTCATATCTGTATAGTGAACTTTAAGCCACAACGCTTCTGTGAGTACTAGCAATGATACCCGGCCACCCAAACCGAAATAGATCACGCGAGAGTCATACTCAGATCGAATTTGAATAATGATTGGATTTAACTGAGGGATTTGTTTCTCTTCCACATCTTTACTCGATGATAAATCCTTAGTGTTGGTGGTAAGTAAATTATGTAATATAAAAGTTTTAGCCAAGTTTCGATAACTCACTTCTTCACAAAGTTTGTGTTAATTATGTTGCTCTCTTCTCTGTTACACCTCATTGAAGAAATGTGTTAAACAGTGAGAGTTTAAGGCGTTGGGTAGCACTAAATAAAAAGTGAATGTTGGCTTGGAACTTTTCATTAAAGGAAATTCACAATTGTTTACGAACTCAGATATTTCAAGTTTTGAGGTATGTTCTATTTACTTGAAGTTCTCAGTTGGCATTTAATGTTTCATATCGCTGAAGTCATTTGTCGCAATTTATTGTGTTAAGGTGGTCCGATTCTATCAACTACCTATTTGTCTTATTTGTGAGCTGATCTACATCTATTCTCTACAAACTTTCTTTTGATAAGTTTAAGTTGTGATCACTAGTAATTAAACGTAAGCTGGATTTCCCGAGTTCTTACTGAAAAGCTATGATTAGTCAAGTTAAGACACCATAAGTGATATATTTGTTATAGATAGTGTTTAGTTATGATTATGATACATTATAAGGTTTAAAAAATTGCAGAACTGAAAACCCCACACTGTTATTGAGATAGAAAAGTAAACTAAAGAAACTATGCTATGCAGTTTAGTTGTAGGCTATATCAATTCTTTACGGTAGCCAATGAGACAGTTTAATCAGATTTATTAATGAAAAAGAATGCATTACGTGGGTCTGATTGTTTGATTCCTTTGTATTTTTATAACACATATATACATAAATTAAACTGATTCAGTGTCATACAACACTTGACGAAGACATTTTACAAACATATAAACATCTTCAAAACTATTATACAATGGTATCGGTGTAATACGCAGAAAATTCGGCAGTCTATAATCACATATTGCACCTAATCTCAATAAATTTTCATATAGTTTTTTAACGTTTACATGATTAAAACTCAATGTTAACTGTGCTCCACGTTCCTCTGAACTCGATGGTGTAACTATACTATATTGATCACTAGTTAGAGCTAATGGACTCTCTGTAATTAGATATTCAAGGTAATTAGTTAGTTTGATTGATTTCTCTCTTAAATTATTCATACCGCCACATGATTTGATAATACCGATACTGACCGTCAAAGCTGCAGCTAATAATAATGGTGGATTAGACAATCGATAGGCATCAGCACCTTTCGCTAATTCCATATGTCCAGTCATATCGAATCGCGTTTCAGTTCTATGGCTCCACCAACCGGTTAGTTGGGGACCAGATATATCAGTAATTATTGTATTATCACTACTATTGACATAGTTGGACTCATTAAATTTCGGTCCATAACTTGATTCTTGATGATGATGTTTTTCATGAATAAACAATCCTCCCATAGCACCGGGACTACCATTTAAATATTTATATGAACACCATACAGCCATATCAACATCCCAATCATGCAGAAATAAAGGAATATTACCAACAGCATGTGCTAAATCCCATCCTACTGGACATTTACAGTATTGATGACCCCATTCAGTAATTAATTTCATATTGAATAATTGTCCTGTAACGTATTGTACTCCTGGTAACCAAATCAATGCAATTCTATGTTGATTTTTCTGGATTTCGTGCAAAATATCTTCATTTCTTAAACAATATTCATTAATACGTGGTTTCAATTTAATAATACAATCATTCGGATTTAAACCATGCCAATTAATTTGTGATTCAAGCACATAATAATCACTTGGAAAGATTCCATCTTCAATTAGTACACAGTGTTTCGCACCTTTTGGTCTGTAGAATTTAGCAATTATTGCATGCATATTCACTGTTAAATTACAAGTAATACTAACTTCACTTGGTTTAGAGTTAATAATCCATTGAGCACAATCAATGGATAATTGTTTATCACAATGTGATGCTGGTAATTCACCATAATGGTAGGCTAATACACCTAAATTTCTCCATTGATTTAATATATCATTTAAATAAGCATTTAAACGTCTTGGTTGTAATCCCATGGAATTTCCACAAAAGTAGATAATTTTCTTTGAATGATTTTCATCGTTTTTATCAGTTAAATATTGATTATGTTCAGTAGAATTGGATTGGACTGTTTTCATTACTTCATTATAGTCTGGTAAATAAAATTCTGATTGGTATGAGTGTAGTGAATCATGCTCGTCTAATTTTATGGCGAAATCGATCGAATCAAAATCCACTTGGTATTTATTGGCTAAATATTTCAACTCTTCAATAGAACTGGACATTAGTGTATAGTGAAGCGGAATCAAGTGAATCTATATCACACTTTCTGAATTCTTTAAATTTATGTTAATCAGAGTATATGAATGCAAATATCTGATTGGTTGCTTAATAATAGGTATAATAGATTGGGTCTATTGGCTGAACTGAACTATACAAGTATAATTGCATGGCCTTCCTTAAATATGGCCGATTAGTTAGTGAGTTATGGTTAGACAGATATAATTTTGTCTACTGTGTTCTGATTGGATATTTGAACGAATGAGCATGTAAGAAAGTATAAACCCATCTTTGTTTATGATAAAATTACCCAAAGTAGTGGCGATATTGACTGGGAAATAATGTTTTCAAACTGTCCATTGTATGCAGTTATATGAAAATAGTCAAGTAATTTTAAGACTTAGTTTCTATTCGGTTTTAATTCTCCACATTGGGTTGACAATTATTGCACGACGGTTGGTCACAGCTTCTTACTAGAACCCCAGGAAATACCTCTTAAAGCCAGCCACTACTGAGCACATGATGATTATTATCAGAAAGGGGTTTTGTGGAGATTGTAGTAATTTAATAGTTGAATTCATGGGTCGATTAAAGCCAGCCCACCGTGGTTGAAGTTGTACATTAACATCATCCGATGCCGGTTTAGTGGTCTAGAGGTTAGGCATTCTCGTGCTAGACCGAAGTTCCTGGGTTGGAATTCCACGAGCGGGACCGTTGATACGCACTGCTGAGGAGTCCTATACTAGCACGAAGCGGTCGTCCACTGCTTCCAGGTTTTCTAAGGTGGTCTAGCTTTAATCGACCCATGAATTCAACTATTAAACGTTCAAAAGATGAAGGTTGAATATTGAGTGCTCGTAGCAGTACTTCATGAACGATATAATAACACTATTCAAACTACCTCTTTAGTCTAATCGCCTGTGAGGATCCGCTGGTTGTTCTATGGCCGTTTCTCAAATAAACTAATTTAATATACAACTTCTGATCCTTATGGAAATGAGAATCGTGCACTACGTAATGGTAGTATGCCGCCTCTTCATAAGATGTGATGGCGCTCTTTAATCACTCGAGAATAATAGTGATAATGTGATTATGACTTACATATTATCAATATTAAAGATTCCCATTGTGAAAATTAGAACAACAAATATAAGCGAACAATTGTTTTCAATTGGATCGTCATCAAGCTTTACTCTAATATACATGAATATTTATACGAAAATGTTAAACCAATGAAGGTAATTTAAGTCAATAATCACAATGAAATAGAATAAGTCACTGCACATAATACGTAAAAATACATGTTGATAGTAGGAAGACAAGTGTACTGATAGTAGTAAGAAGAATAAAATACGATAACAAAAGTCATATCAATAGTTAAACATTGGAAATAGAAGGTCAAACGTGGGTAAATAGAATAGTTATCACAAAACATTAAAACCATTATGAAATTAATTACTGAATGGGGTCATCAATACTGTAAATGTCCAGTAGGATGGGATTTAGTACATGCTGTTGGTAATATTCCTTTATTTCTGCATGATTGGGATGTTGATATGGCTGTATGGTGTTCATATAAATATTTAAATGGTAGTCCCGGTGCTATGGGAGGATTGTTTATTCATGAAAAACATCATCATCAAGAATCAAGTTATGGACCGAAATTTAATGAGTCCAACTATGTCAATAGTAGTGATAATACAATAATTACTGATATATCTGGTCCCCAACTAACCGGTTGGTGGAGCCATAGAACTGAAACGCGATTCGATATGACTGGACATATGGAATTAGCGAAAGGTGCTGATGCCTATCGATTGTCTAATCCACCATTATTATTAGCCGCAGCTTTGACGGTCAGTATCGGTATTATCAAATCATGTGGCGGTATGAATAATTTAAGAGAGAAATCAATCAAACTAACTAATTACCTTGAATATCTAATTACAGAGAGTCCATTAGCTCTAACTAGTGATCAATATAGTATAGTTACACCATCGAGTTCAGAGGAACGTGGAGCACAGTTAACATTGAGTTTTAATCATGTAAACGTTAAAAAACTATATGAAAATTTATTGAGATTAGGTGCAATATGTGATTATAGACTGCCGAATTTTCTGCGTATTACACCGATACCATTGTATAATAGTTTTGAAGATGTTTATATGTTTGTAAAATGTCTTCGTCAAGCGTTGTATGACACTGAATCAGTTTAATTTATGTATATATGTGTTATAAAAATACAAAGGAATCAAATAAAACCTTCATATTCTTTTTGTTTTCTGTAAGATGAACACAAAAGTGCTGGTTACTCTCCACATGTACTAAACATTGAGAATAAGATATAATACAAATCCACACTTACTTATCCTATGTTATATTGATTTTCACCTAGATATAAAATGTTATTGTTAAATTTCGTTTCTTTATCGTATAACTCTACAGAATTCGAGTCACATTGACCGGATGTCTCGAGCAGATGTTTTATTTGGTCGTATTGCTCATGTCTCCACTACGAGTTTCATCGGTAATGAAAATAAAATAAACACTGGTCAACTCAAGTCGATACTTCCAATCGGTCGTTCAAATTCAGAAGGGCGTTGCTCAGAACATGAAAGAGATGTAAGTAGTGGGGGTTGTGCTGCTACTGTTGCCCGTGATAACAATAGCTCTGGAATTCGTAATTTCAAACAGGCAATTAAAATACCCAAGACTACGTATCATTTTCTTGAATTTCTTCAACCAGATACAAGACTTTTCAACAAAGTTTTAGTTCCTGTTCCACCGGGTGATGAAACATTACAAGCATTAAGAGTCGTAGCGTCAACAATCATTATATCACTTCATTCCGCCGGCAAGTAGTATACTTTTTTTCTGCTGTATTCAGCGATTTCATATAATATCCTATATCCGTTTTTTCCCCACTCCGTTCAGTTCTACATGAGTTGACTTCCGGCCTAAATAGCCTAGTGCTGATGTCTCTGATTTTAACTGTCAATTCTGATAATCTTCACACATAAAATAAAGTTTTTAACCAACGGTAACTAAACATTACTCTCGGAAGCCGATACACTAATTGAATCGTATTTAGGACATTAGAAAAAATAAAGAAGTGAGGACTTTCTTACCAGTTTACAAAGTTTTCCTTGACCATAACTTACCATAAGTCACAAAATTGTAATCAATGTTCGACAATATTTACAATTTGAGTTGAGAATCATACAATCATGTAAAGTAAACTGGTAAGTTTCTGACGTCTTAAACGAAATCAACGGTAATTCTAATACCATTTTCCGTGCTACCTATAACTACCAAACTACGTGATGATGCTGTTTCAAATACCTAGTCCTCAAGTTCACTATATTTTTTTAAAAAGACCCTCATCATAGTTTACTGGAAAAACTACCCCCAAATGCCCTGGTACGGCCGAGAGTGTGGAGAGTCAGCTCTCCCTCTCGAAATGCTCTCACATGACCACGTGCATACAACCACTGCCAGCGAAGTTCTACTTACTGCTTTCTTGTGGCATTGCTGTTGTTTACGAAATCGAGAGGACGAAAAGCGAATATCCGTCTCTTTAAGCAAGGTTGGAGGACGCGGAGAGTCCTGAAGGAACAAATGACGTGTGAACCAATTGTTGGTCACCAGCTACCATGTGACTGCATTTCTTGACGTTGCTCCACTGCCTTGTGGATCAGGCATTTAAGTTAAATGCCTGGGGAATGACCTCCCTAGGAAAACTACCTGCTTCGGTTTGGGCACCCGGGCAGTATCCCAGCCCTCATACAAATCGAATGATTTATGTGGCACATATCTATTTGGTACTTCTTTGTATACCAGTGTTTGAGTTTAAATAAACTGAAAAGACTCACATGGGTATGGAGTAGAAAAACAGTATTGTTCTATAGACAACAAAATGCATGAATCCTTAATAAACCATATGAAAAATATAAAAGTATTTCAAATTAAAATTGATACTGTGCTGAGAATTCTACATTGTACCAAAATATAATATTGAATAAAGCCATTAATAATAATAATAATAATAATAATAATAATAATAATAGTAATAATAGCAATGACCAGAATAGAAATATTTTAAATTTCGATAGAACAATGAGAAGACGTAGTTGATCTGAAAAATGTGATGTATTTGCGCTATACATTTCGAACAATCTGGTCACACATATACTTGTCAAGGCATTTTTATATGAAAATTAATAAAGGTCAATAAAGGTCAAACAAACAAATAAAAGTACAACTAAAATAACTAAGGGGGGAGAAAGAATAAGAAATTGTCGCGTTATCCTAGGCCATAGAATGTCAAATGATCCGATTAATGTAGGAGGTAGAAAACCAAGTTCATCAATAGCAAAACACATAATTGAGACGGGGCACAAAATTAACATTAATACAGCATTTAGAATGTTGTATAGAAATTATCAAGGTCGAATTCTTAAGTTTATTGAAGCCTTAGCTATTCGTAAATTTAAACCCCCCTTATGTGTACAAAAACAATTTGTCGTAACCTTGAATTTACCATGGTAATCCTTAAGTCATTCTATGGCCTAGGATAACGCGACAATTTCTTATTCTTTCTCCCCCCTTAGTTATTTTAGTTGTACTTTTATTTGTTTGTTTGACCTTTATTGACCTTTATTAATTTTCATATAAAAATGCCTTGACAAGTATATGTGTGACCAGATTGTTCGAAATGTATAGCGCAAATACATCACATTTTTCAGATCAACTACGTCTTCTCATTGTTCTATCGAAATTTATAAAAGGGACTAATTGTTTTAAATTCTTGAAAAGAAATATTTTAGTAACAAAGTAAAATAATGTTTTTAAGGGTCAAGAAATTCTTTTGTCTGTATTTTTTAAATTACTCTCTATTTCTCTTGAATATTATCACTTTATTTCTTCTATTCAATGTTTTATTGTACCGAAATATTTTTTAAAGAATAAACTTGTTTGATGTGGCCGAGACAGTTAATTATTATTATGATTATGATCTCAATGGTGGGTGAAAGCTATGAGAATTTAAGGTTCCAAATAATTAACTCTTTTATGTTTACGTTTATGTACAGAATTCTGTTCGCTATTGCTTTTTCTACGCTTAAAACACAGGACGGTATTACGAACTCTATCCCCAAACCTCCACTTTTTTATCTGGCCTTTGGACTGGCAGTAGCCCCTGGAGGGACCCCAGGCGGAGTTCTAGACGGAGATAGTATCACAAATATTTGAGCAAAATAATTATTACATTGTATAAGCACATTTACTTCTATGTAGAAGTTTGATGTTAACTTATTATAGGCTATTAGTAGTCGACAAGAACCTAATGAAATAAAATGGATTCATTTTATTCTACTCAAATCATTGTAGGTATCATTACCAAGCCATTAATAATAATAATAATAATAATAATAATAATAATAATAATAATAACAATAATAATAATAATAATAATAATAATAATAATAATAATAATAATAGCAATGACCAGAATAGAAATATTTTAGTAACAAAGTAAAATAATATTTTTAAGGGTCAAGAAATTCTTTTGTCTGTATTTTTTAAATTACTCTCTATTTCTCTTGAATATTATCACTTTATTTCTTCTATTCAATGTTTTATTGTACCGAAATATTTTTTAAAGAATAAACTTGTTTGATGTGGCCGAGACAGTTAATTATTATTATGATTATGATCTCAATGGTGGGTGAAAGCTATGAGAATTTAAGGTTCCAAATAATTAACTCTTTTATGTTTACGTTTATGTACAGAATTCTGTTCGCTATTGCTTTTTCTACGCTTAAAACACAGGACGGTATTACGAACTCTATCCCCAAACCTCCACTTTTTTATCTGGCCTTTGGACTGGCAGTAACCTTAGAAGGGCTCTAGACGGAGATACTTACTTACTTACTTACTTACTTACTTACGCCTGTTACTCCCAATGGAGCATAGGCCGCTGACCAGCATTCTCCAACCCACTCTGTCCTGGGCCTTCTTTTCTAGTTCCATCCAATTCTTGTTCATTTTTCTCATGTCTGTCTCCATTTCCCGGCGTAATGTGTTCTTTGGTCTTCCTCTTTTCCTTTGACCCTCAGGATTCCACGTGAGGGCTTGGCTTGTGACGCAGTTGGGTGCTTTCCTCAATGTGTGTCCTATCTACTTCCAGCGCTTCTTCCTGATTTCTTCCTCCGATGGGATCTGGTTTGTTCTCTCCCACAGTACGTTGTTGCTAATAGTGTCCGGCCAACGGATCTGAAGTATTTTGCGTAGAGAACTGTTAATAAACACCTGTATTTTCTGAATGATGGCTTTCGTAGTTCTCCAGGTTTCTGCCCATACAGCAGAACTGTCTTGACATTTGTATTGAAAATCCTGACCTTGGTGTTGGTTGACAGTTGCTTTGAGTTCCAGATGTTCCTCAGTTGTAAATATGCTGCTCTTGCTTTGCCGATCCGCGCCTTCACATCTGCATCAGATCCACCGTGTTCATCAATGATGCTGCCGAAATATGTAAAGGTTTTTACATCTTCCAAATCTCCGTCAATTGTGGTTGAATTGGTGCATGCTGTATTGTATCGGAGAATCCTGCTTTTCCCTTTGTGTATATTGAGACATACTGCTGCTGAGGCTGCTGCCACACTGTTCGTCTTCTCCTGCATTTGTTGTTGCGTTTGGGATAGAAGGGCCAGATCATCTGCGAAGTCTAGATCGTCCAGCTGCATCCTAGATGTCCATTGTATCCCATGCTTCCCTTCAGATGTTGACGTCTACATGATCCAGTCGATCACCAGGATAAAGAGAAATAGTGAGGGTAAGCAGCCTTGCCTAACACCGGTCTTCACTTCTAACGACGTTTCAACTGTCGTACATGCACGATTTCGCAGTGTAATCCATCATATGAGTTCTGTATGATATTGACTATCTTCTGAGGCACGCCGTAGTGTCGAAGAAGTTTCCATAATGTTGTTCTGTCCACGCTATCAAATGCTTTCTCATAGTCAATAAAGTTGATGTAGAGTGATGAATTCCATTCAATTGATTGTTCCACAATGATCCGTGGTGTTGCGATTTGGTCTGTACACGATCTATCCTTACGGAATCCTGCCTGTTGGTTTCGAAGTTGTGCGTCTACGCAGTCCTTCATCCTGTTTAACAATACCCTGTTGAAGACTTTTCCCGGTATTGAGAGAAGAGTGATGCCCCTGTAGTTATCACACTTGCTGAGATCGCCTTTCTTCGGTATTCTGATCAGAAGTCCTTCTTTCCAGTCTTTTAGTACTTGTTCCTCATCCCAAATCTTATTGAAGAGAATGTGGAGTATCCTTGCAGTCGCCGCTACGTCTGCTTTTAATGCCTCTGCTGGAATGTTGTCTGGTCCTGCTGCTGTGCCTGATGGCCATGCTGATCTCTTCAATTGCTGGTGGGCCAACATTGATTGGGAGGTCCGTGGGTGCTGCTTCGATGTTGGGTGGGTTCAGTGGGGCTGGTCGATTCAAGAGTTCTTTGAAGTGTTCTACCCACCTGTTTTGTTGCTCTTCAATGTTGGTGATTATCCTCGCCTTCCTTGCTTTTTACTGGTCGTTCTGGTTTGCGGCGATTTCCAGAGAGTTTCTTTGTCGTGTCATACAGTTGTCTCATGTTTCCTTCTCTTGCAGCCTTTTCCGCCGTTGTTGCTAAATCTTCCACATATTTACGTTTGTCGGTTCTGATGCTCCTCTTCACTTGTTTGTTTACATCTGTGTATTCAGCTTGTGCCTTGGCTTTTTCTGCTCTTGTTCGACTGGTATTGATTGCTGCCTTCTTGTTCCTCCTTTCTTGAATCTTATCCAGTGT